TTACAGCAGTTTTTTACAAATGGGAACCGTGCAAGGGCAAGGACATTATTTGGTAAAGCACGACATAATATAAAATGTTCCCGAAGATTTTACAGGTTTAAACAGTTTAATTTTAACGACATCCTTGATTTTAACAATAAGGGACCGGTCATTAATTATGGAAGGGGGTAGGGGAGGAAAAAAATAAGGGGGGGCATATGTAAAAATGACTAGAAGGGGGGCTAATAAATTTTTTCAAGAAAATGACAGGGGGTGTTGCAATTAAACTTGAAGGAATTTGCTGAATAACCTGGTATCCATTTGGTTGTAAATGTTGCAACTAAATCATGGTCACTGATGTGAAATAGTCTGGATTCATCTTGTCTTGTGTGTGCTGTATGCAAATCAGATTTATGGTTTGCAGACTAGTTAAATTGACAATGTATTATTACATCAGCTCTTGATGTGGTTAAATACATTTAAATTAAGCAAGGTTAACGGCGTTTGTATTATGCAGGCCACATCCGCTGCGGGGAATCTGTGACGTCATATCGATCAAAGGGGGTTGTTTCATGCCTTGTGATCAGTGCTTCGGTCTGGGTATTCATTCTACCATTGTATGCTTTGCCTAGCTGCAGCAAGTTTTGCGCTTCGATACCTTTTCCCAACCCACCCACCCATGTTCATTCTAAAAGATTTTATCTGGTAGCTAGTATATGTCATTTTTATATAATTTTTAATCTCACATAAAATACGATGTATAGACCACTATACACTGTCGCAGGTATGCCTTGGCAGAATTGTCATTGCTATCTCCTTTTGCTGCTAATTTTACTGATTGTTGCTCTCATTGTTGCCGCGCAGATGCTATGGCAATACTTCGTACCATCAAGTCTAGTTGCAGCCTTAAACATGGTTACGATCGCCCAGACCAAATGGAAACCTGATTTTAGTGTTATATATAAAAATACTCCTCTTTTAATTACAATTTTCTGCTAATAAATATATATTTTTGGTCGACGTTAATATCTTGCCAGTTCCATATTCTTATTTAATAATTAATACTATAACGCCTGGGTATCCCCATTTGACGAGTAAAAATGAAAGTGGGGGGGGTCAAAGAAAAATATTCTAATATGCAGGAGGGGGCATCATTAAATTTCTGCCATTTAGGGGGGGGGCTTTCAATTTTAAAAATTTAGAAAAGAAAAAATTCCCCTCCCCCCCTTCCATAAATAATGACCTGTCCCTAACCAATATCAACAGTCTTGAAAAAACAATCTGATAGATTATTATAAAACTACACACCATCAAAGCAAATCGATATAAAAGTACAATAACCGTAGCTGTCAGGTGTGTATAGTGTTCAACAGAATAACTATAAGTATAAAGCTGTACCTAATACAGTCAGTATCAGTACATCCAATGACCGTGGCTTTCCGATATGTACAGTGTTAAACAGACTGACAATTTAAACATGATAACTATAATAAGTATAAAGCTGTACCCAATGTAATATATCAAATGACCATAGCTGTCCGATCTAGAGTGTTGAACAGGACAATTTAAACATGATAGCTATAAGTATAAAGCTGTAACCAATACAGTACATGCTGCATCAATGACCGTAGCTGTATGATGTACAGTGTACAGTGTTGAACAGAAAAATTTAAACAGAACAACTATAAAACAGCACCCTTATTGATACAACGGTACAGGTAGCTGTCCAATGGCAGTGCAGTGTAAGTAAATCCAGGTGGTAATGCTGCCTCAGTGTCCAATGTTCTTTTTCTTTTTAGACCATTTATAATTGTTACCAAACTGTGAATAAACATAAATATCTACATTGAAAAGGGAATGGCTGCAAAAATTTCAATATCAGTCCCCCACACACCACTGTTCCTCATGTTGCTTGTGGCTAAATAATGATCTACTGAACTTTTCATATGTGGTCTAAGGACATGTTCTATACTGTTCATGTGATCCACTATTTTTTGTCTTAAAATCATGTGGTATGTTTGTCTACCGGTTAAAATATATGACAGTGCTCTAAATAAACAATTGCCATCCCCTGTAATCCGACAGAGTTTCGTTGGATTAACTAGTGGTTTTGATGTTGTTTCATTGCGTCTAAATATAAGTGGGACATTCATCAAAGAGCATAAGGACAGCTGAAATTCTCCTGATAGAGGATAAAAATGAAGCGATCTATCGATACACTGCTGAGACTCGTCCGTGCCAGCTGATACGGTTAGATTGCAGAATACCCGTCCACTTTGACATATTACACCTATTAATTCCTTGTAAACATGGCGAAATCAGAAAAGAATGTCAATTTTAAATGCTTCGTTCTTTAAAGACTCCGGCATTGAATTTAACTACAAGCAACATATTCTTGTAGTTTTATCTTTAAATTTTAATTGTGAACTGTTTTGAAATAATCTTTTAATTCATTTATTCGGTTTAACAACCTATCAAAAGTGGACGGGTATTCTGCAATCGCTCCGCTGATACTAGGCTACAGTGCAAGCGCAGTCATGTGAAATATACAACGGCAAGTCGGCAACGTGACTTTAATACAAAGATTTTGTGTCGTGTTGCTTCGAATAAGACAAATATGTCCTTTGTATTCCGTGACAGCTAAAACATGAATTATTTAATTTAAATAACATGATTAAATTTGGTAAACAAAAAAATCTTTCAATCGACAGAAACTATGGAAACAGTGTTGAAACGGTGTTGATCGAAACACAGCTGACAGAGGCGCTCGAAAGGCACCAGAAAATGTGAACACTTGTATATATATTGAACAAAATAGTGTTAATATTTCAGCTAAAAGGTAGATCAGTGTGTTAACAGCAGATCTGTTGGGTGAAGTAGAAAAACAGATAACAATTAAGTCAACTAACACTCACCTTTTAATTTAGCACACGCTAAAGTTGTCAAAAAGTCAAAAGTTGAAAAGAACGTGAAGCGTGCTGCAGCCCAATTTCCGGTTCCAAAAGACCCGTTCGCAGGCAAACACTGCGCGCAAAGCAGGCTGGTCATTTCCCATTGTTTAACTGCCCCACTCAAGTAAACCACAAAGACTCACAGATGTTGCTTCGCAACATCCGTGAGTCAAAAATGAATTCAATTACCAATCCAATAGCAATTCTCAGGGACGCCAGAACTGGGGGGCAGGGGGGCGGCTGCCCCCCCCCCTGCCTTTTGCTAGGGGGGGGGCAAGGGGGGCAGAAGTGCCCTTTTAGTTATAAAAAAATACGTGATAAATCACATTTAGAACGATGGTTTTTGTCCGAAAATTATGAGATTCAGACAATTGAGAGTTATATTTCACTTACGGTATGTCCGGAAAAAATTTTTGACCCCTAAAATGGTACACTGACCGAAACTTTTTAGATAAAAAAAAATCGGAAGATTTCGAAGTTTTGCTTTAGAGAAGTGCCCTTGCTGTGGGTCCCGCCCCCCTTTGCCTTATGATCGTTCCGGCGTCCCTGGCAATTCTGATTAAAGATGACTTCATGACCGACCAATCAGAGAGATGAAAATTTGTAATGCTATATAACACGATGTAGCATTGGCTCAAAATCAGTGAATTGTTCTCAAAAAATATATTTTGTATCTCGGTATCTGCTTTAAGCCGGCTATGATGTGGTGTGTTCCCAGGCAAATGGTGAAGTCTTGTACAGCATGTTTTGTTCATAAACCATATAACTCGTGCCCATACTTTCTCACGAATACCAACAGTCACTGTTTTAAGTAAACTCGAGACACCGGATAGAAGAGATAGCCCGACAAACAGCCAGATATTCTCAAAGTCTGCTTGCATGACACGATACAAAGTCAATGAATATTGCCCGTGTGAAATAAACCAACACGAAGCTTCGCTCTGGTTTGATCATTTCTGAAGTACGCCATAATGCCATATGCCTACATATAGCAGTCGGCACCAGTGCTAAGGTAGGCGTCAAGATGGCCAAAATGAATCTATACCACACATTATCGAAGGAATTAAACCATATAACAACCGCATATCTGTAAAAGATTGCCAGTGCATTGGTGCTCAACAACGGTACCACAAGAACCATGAAAATATGGCGACTTGAATAGGATACAGTTGGATGATTTTGTCGAATATGGCGCATCACAATTGCAGATTCCCAGAAAAGAGCCACAGGAAATGCTAAAAATGGTGGAACGACGTCGTAACTTTTGAGCGGACCAGTATCATGAATACCATATATGAGTAAAAAACTTACATATAATGTATTAAATAAACCAACCAGAAAGCCTACTAGGATAGTCGAGGAATAATGACGCTTCAGTTCGTTCCAACCAAATAAAACAACCAACGTCATGAAAAACAAGAGATACAATAGCATTTTCTCAACTCCTATGCCGATTAATCTTATTCTCCAAACATTAAATGAAAGAGTGTAGTTTTTAGCTTCCCATTCAGAACATAAATCCACTGTTCTTAAATCAAAATATATAAGAGCCATCCCTATAAGTACTAACGGCAGTACAGCTAAGGTTATGGTAAAGTTCATCTTCAGACTTCTGAGTAATGACTTGGCATGACTAGACCCGCTTCCCAGTTCATACCCTGGTTGTACATTCTCTGTTTCTGATGGTAAATTCTCTTCCTCAAACGAGACATACTCTCTGTAAATTGTTTGCTCCCATGTAGAGTGTGTACATTGGTCTGATGGACTTGCATTGTCATTCATTTTTCGAGAAAGTCGTGGCGCATCCAAAGTTAAGGCAGAAAACAATGACAAAAAACAAGCGATGATTTCTTCCAACATTGTGAAAATATCAATTGATTGGCAAAGTTAATGTAACCAAGTACGTTGCCCTTTTAAAGTCACTTGCTGATGATTTCCTATATGCTGATGTTTCCCTATTTCCGCATTTTCTCGACTTCAAAACAAGAACAATATAACATCAGCAAAACAATAAGTATAGGTTATTTTGAGCCAACGAGGGGGTATGTGACTTATTCACCGAGGCTAGCAGCACCGAGTTGAATAAACACATATCCCCGAGGTGCCTCAAAATAACGTACTTATTTTTCACATTGCGAGGTCGCGTTAATGAGTCAGAATAGAAATAATTCTTAATGCCATATTGCCTTCGTTATGTTGGTTTTTTCTCATTTTTTTGTGCTGCAAAGACGTTGCAAGTGAATATTAGAAGGGGTTATCGAACGGAAATTGATTAGAGGGGAATATTGAATATATTCCCCGATAAGAACAAAGGGAACCGAGCAGAGTGAAAAATAAGATTAATTATTTTCATTATATATGGACTAGTAGAATATGGAATTGATGGATCAATTAGATATTTTTGTTACAGTTGACTACCATCCAGTCATAAAATATTTTTTCCCGTAAGTATAACCTCCTAAAATAAAATTTCCTGAGTAAACCAAATGTTAGAGTTCCTGCGGAAGTAGGTTTCAAATGACAATGCTGTGCCCGTGCCACACTTTGTGCTAAACTTCAGTTTCGATTCGCACAATGGCAATACTTCTAGAGAAGCAAATTACATGACATTTCAATACATAAGGAGACAAAGTCCTCCTGGGAAGATAGTTTGTTAAAAATTTCCTGAGTAGACCAAATGTCAGAGTTCCTGCGGAAGTAGGTTTCAAATGACAATGCTGTGCCTGTGCCACACCTTGTGGTAAACTTCAGTTTCGATTCGCACAATGGCAATATTTCTAGAGATGCAAATTACATGACATTACAAAGGCAATGTTTCTAGAGAAGCAAATTACAATGGCAATATTTCTAGAGAAGCAAATTACAAGACCTCCTGCGAAGATAGTTTGTTAAAAATTTCCTGCCGGCACGCTGCTCCTATAGCCTTGCTTTTGTTTTACTGTTCTACCCCGAAGATTGTATCACCAAATTCTCTCTCTAAACTCAATCGTCCTGAAAAGCGTATGAAGTTTTAATATTATATAATTAAAATCCAGTTATGCATATTTGATTTTTGTTATGCTTAATTTAACATGGCCGAAATGTGAGCAAATGGGCGATACTGGCATATTGAATTCTACTCGCGATTGTTTTGGACAAAAGTCGATCATGCTTACGTTCTATCATCGCGATTCAAAAAATGTATCCAAATTAACTATAAAATTGTTTTGATAATTTGCTTCGTAACACATTTTCATCCTGAAGCAACGTTGTTTGGCGGAAAATCGAAAAAATAACTCGAGGAAAAAGTGGTTTTCTAAATGTTGATTCCCAGACTCCAAGCTTCCTACACAATTGCACATATATTAATCACAAAGATCCTTAAATGACTTCGTCTCTTACTATAAATATCTCATTATGGTTGCACTGCTTTTTAAAATAAAATTAAATAACTTTCTCATCCTCGTTCCCAGGGCTTCTTGGCTGACTGCGTGCGCACTCAGCCGAGAGGCCCTGGGAACGAGGATGTTACCAGTGAAGTGTTACAATTTCCTTGACCTTGTCAAACAAAGCTTTGACTTAGAACGCCACCTATCTCGTAACAAAACAAGATTTCAGCATACACGGAAATCACATTAGACCATCAGTTACCCCTTCCGAATAAAGCTCTGTATTTATTTCAGCTCGATCTCTTCCGAAAATTAAGGCTATGTCTTAATTGTAAAAAGCGTTCAAATTAAGACATTGCCTTAATTTTAAACCTAACCCCCACCCAACCCTAACCTCTAACCGCTAATCCTAATCCAACCTTAGTGTAACCCTAATCCAATCCAAATCTGGCGAACCTTTTTTTTAGGCCACTACAAATTAGTCTTTAGTTTCACGTCCGGCCCTTATATTTCAAATTACACGCGGGTGGGCGGTCCATTTCCATTATCCATTATGGTGTCTGAAAGTATTTTGTATGCAGAAATGAAAGTCAGGATATTAATTCATCTTATCCTTTTATTACGTTCGAAAATCAAAACGTGTAACGGAATTAAGTGTCTTGCTCGGCGGTTACTGTAGTCAAACGAACTGAAAAACAACAATTCACGCTCGTGCATAAAAGTTTCAATAATTGTATTTCGATTTTTACGTATTATATCATATGTATTCCTAGAACGATAAATAATTCGAAAACTGTGGCTTTTCGTTATTCTTAGTCATAAAGGTCGAATAATGGAAACAAGTTAGCAATAATGGACAAATCATGCAGCCAGTTCTGGAAGACGCGGGCGGAGGACGGGAAACTAAAGTCTAATTTGGAGTGGCTAGGTCTTGACAATCCGTAACCTGAGTCTTCTTATATATTTCACTAACTAAACACAGTTCATACTTTTATATAGTTAATTTCTTACTTCAGATATTGCACTATAAAACTTTCCAATGACCACACTTAACAATGAGCTCAAGAAGAAATGTTCTTCTTGTTTCAAAACTATTAAAAAAACACGATCTATTCAATTAATGTCTCACATGTAAGAATCGGTTTCAGGCTGTGTCTGCAGTAACTCATACAGCATAGTCATAGATAAAAATACGATTGATTTGTGCCAGCCTTGCTTAGCTGAATCTTTGCCTTTCCGAACACTCCATGATTTTATTTGAATTTACTGTTTTAAAAGGAATTAGTGTGAGTAAAGACGAAATGATAGATCGGGCATTTGAAATTCAACCCTTTTAAGAGGGTGGGAAAGGGGGGTATGGATCACGTTTCACAACGAAAAAAAAGTCGTTTCACGATTCACGTGTCTTAAAAAAGCAATTTCACGGAAAACTAGATTCAAATAATATAATATCATAATAATAGGTCTATTAAGAGTATGTTTAATGCATGGTACAGTATCCACGCTTTAAGTTACATTCTCTCATTTCTCTACCTGTCAGTTAAAAACTACATCATAACTTACAAGTTTGAGTGACGAGCATGTACGACGACCTCCGCGTGTGTGAGGAACCTTGTCCTGAACGTCAGGAACCCTCTCCTCAACATGAGGAACCTCGTCCTCAGCGTCAGGAACCTTGTCCTCAACGTCAGGATTATAGGCTTTCTGTCAATACCAGGTTTTTCCAGCTGTGTAATCGCAAAAGTCGTGAAAGTTAAAATTATGCTGTTTCGAACCTTGCGTTTTATTGCCCCCTGTAGCAGAAACCTGAATTTACCACGGTCTGAAAATTGTAGTTTTGGAATCTACGGTCCATAAACTTTCTATCGATGCCTTATTCGTGTATTCACTAGACAGTCCATGAAGATAAACAGCAGGTTATTCCAGGTGCATAATCGAAAAAGACGTGAAAGTTAATATTATGCGGTTTCGAACCTTGCGTTCTATTGATTTTCAAGGCCTCTGCAGCAGAAACTGGAATTTGTCACGGTCTGAAAATTGTATTTTTAGAATCTACGATCCATCATAAGCTTTCTATCGATGCCTTACTCAGGTATCAAAAGACAGTCTATGAAGAAACAAAGCAGGTTATTCCAGGTGCATAATCGAAAAAGACGTGAAAGTTAATATTATATATGCGGTTTCGAACCTGATGTTCTATTGACTTTCAAGGCCCTTGTAGCAAAGACTTGAATTTACGCCGGTCTGAAAATTGTATTTTTATAATCTACGGTCCATAAGCTTTCAGTTGATGCCTTACTCGTGTATCGAAAGACAGTCCATGGAGATAAAAAGCAGCTTATTCCAGGTGCATAATCGAAAAAGACGTGAAAGTTAATATTATGCGGTTTCGAACCTTGCGTTCTATTGACTGTTTTCAAGGCCTCTGCAGCAGAAACTGGAATTTGTCACGGTCTGAAAATTGTATTTTTAGAATCTACGATCCATAAGCTTTCTATCGATGCCTTACTCAGGTATCAAAAGACAGTCTATGAAGAAACAAAGCAGGTTATTCCAGGTGCATAATCGAAAAAGACGTGAAAGTTAATATTATATATGCGGTTTCGAACCTGATGTTCTATTGACTTTCAAGGCCCTTGTAGCAAAGACTTGAATTTACGCCGGTCTGAAAATTGTATTTTTATAATCTACGGTCCATAAGCTTTCAGTTGATGCCTTACTCGTGTATCGAAAGACAGTCCATGGAGATAAAAAGCAGCTTATTCCAGGTGCATAATCGAAAAAGACGTGAAAGTTAATATTATGCGGTTTCGAACCTTGCGTTCTATTGACTGTTTTCAAGGCCTCTGCAGCAGAAACTGGAATTTGTCACGGTCTGAAAATTGTATTTTTAGAATCTACGATCCATAAGCTTTCTATCGATGCCTTACTCAGGTATCAAAAGACAGTCTATGAAGAAACAAAGCAGGTTATTCCAGGTGCATAATCGAAAAAGACGTGAAAGTTAATATTATATATGCGGTTTCGAACCTGATGTTCTATTGACTTTCAAGACCCTTGTAGCAAAGACTTGAATTTGGGCCAGCCTGAAAATTGTATTTCTGAAATCTACGATCCATAAGCTTTCTGGCGATGCCTCATTCGTGCATCACGAGTTTAACTATTCTGCGGGTTGCGGGCTGCGGGCCGAAACTGCGGGCTGCGGGCCAAAAATTGCGGGCTGCGGGCCGAAAAATGCGGGCTGCGGGCCAAAAAATGCGGGCTGTGGGCCAAAAAATGCGGGCTGCGGGCCGAAAAATGCGGGTTGCGGGCAGAAAAATGCTAACACGATTGCAAGCCGCGGGTCTAGTTGCGGGCCTGACGAATTTTTAAAAAAATATTGTCAAAATGTAAAGAAAATAACAATATTATTCAAAATTTTCTGTCTTTGAAGTATATTCTATGTCTAATGTTATTCGTAATCATAAGCATACGAATTTTTCCTTAAATGCA